ATAGAGTACTGTTCAACCATAAAAAAAAAAAAAAAGAGAACCTGTTGTTAGCAACAACATGGATAGAACTACAGTTCATTACATTAAGTGAAATAAGTCAGGCATAGAAAGCCAGGCACAGGTCATTATAGTAAGTAAACAGTTACTAATGGGAACTAAAAGCTAAAACAATTGACCTTACAGAGATAAAGTATAGAATGATGGTTACCAGAAGCTGGGAACCGTAGTGGGGGATGGCAGGGCATGGAGACAGTTAATGGGTACAAAAACATAATCAGAGAGAATAAATAAGATACAGTATTTGATAGCATAAGAGAGTAAATATAGTCAACAATAATTTATTGTACATTTTAAAATAACTAAAAATATAATTGTTTTATCTTTGTGTTACAAAGAAATGATAAATGCTTCAGGTGATAGATACCCCATTTGCCATGATATAATTATTACACTTTGTGTACCTGTATCAAGATATCCCATATACCTCATAAGTATGGTACATCTACTATGTACCCATAAAAATTGAAAATATAAAAATAAATATAAAGAAGTAGCACTAGGTTAGTGTCACAGGGTGATAGGGTGATATTTCCTTCTCTACAGATCCATCCTATCAAATTACTTGATTGATAATTAAACTTTAGACTGGGTGCGGTAGCTCACAACTGTAATCTCAGCACTTTGAGAGGCCAAGGGGGACAGATCACATGGGGCTGGGAGTTCGAGACCAGCCTGGTCAACATGGTGAAACCCTTCCTCTACTAAAAATACACATGCAAAAAAATAGCAAGGCATGGTGGTATTCATCTGTAGTACCAGCTACTTGAGAGGCTAAGGCAGGAGAATTACTTGAACCAGGAGTTCAAGTTGCAGTGAGCCAAGATCTTGCCACTGCACTCCATCCTGGGTAACAGAGTGAGACTTTGCCTCAAAAAAAAAAAAGAAAAAGAAAATTGAACTTTATAATCATAATATGTTGAATGCCATTCATTGGTCAATCTTCAAAATTTTAAATCAAACTATTAACATAAAAAATTAATAAACATATGTTCATATAAACTATGAACGTAAAACTCAATTATCTCAATTTGAGATGGCGTTTCAAATCATCTCATAAATCTAAACACATATATCTAAGACCTCAAACTGTGAAACTACTAGTAGAAAATTTGGGAGCAACTCTCCAGGACTTTAGATTGAGCAGAGATTTCTTGAGTAATACCCAACAAAGACAGGCAACCAAAGTATAAATGGACAAGTGGAATTACATCAACTTAAACACCTTCTGCACAGCAAATAAAACAAGGCAACAAAGGTTTGATCTAAAATTTCTATTCTAAAATTCTAGTGTACATGTTCTAAACCTTGTCAATATAAAAATAATGGTAGAGTTGTCAGAAATTGAACATGAAAAGAAGAAAATGGAAAGAAGTAAATCTAACTTTCTAGTTTTTATTTTATATATTGCAGAATTAACTGCCTAAAACTGGCTAGTCAAGAAACAGAAGCTGAAGTACATACTTAAAAATTTTAAGGTAATTGATCCAGGAAACAATTAGAAATTGAATAAATGTAGAGAAAGAAAGACTGTAGTTTAAGAAAAATACAAATGAGCTAATACTTTCTTTTTTAGAGATTCAATGTTCACTGTCTAAGCTTGATTAATCAAGACATAGAGATATAAGCATATTAGAATGTACAAGTGACTATAGATCTAAGAGAAGCATTTAAAATAATTTGTGTCAGGCCACGCCTGGTGGCTGACACCTGTCAACTCAGCACATTGGGAGACGGAGGCAGGTGGATCATTTCAGGTCAGGATTTTGAGATCAGTCTGGCAAATAAGGTGAAGCCCCATCTCTACTAAAACAAAACAAAACAAAACAAAACAAAACAAAACAAAACAAACAAACAACAAAAAAAAACAACTTAGCCAAGCCTGGTGGCACATGCCTATAATCCCAGCTACTTGGGAGGCTGACGCAAAATTGTGTGAACCCAGGAAGGAGAGATTGCAGTGAACTGACATTGCACCACTGTACTTAGTCTGGGCAACAGAGCGAGACTCCACCTCAAAAAAAAAATATATATATATAATGAAATAATATGAAATAATTAGCTTCAGGAAAGGAAAATTCAAGGTTAGATGATTTGTTTAAAAACTTTTGGTTTTGGCTCTTTTAAATTCTTTGCTTTTTTTCTTTCAACCATGTTCTAAACTCAACTTTTACAATCACAATTTTAAAATCCAGAAATATAATTATCCAAGTTATAAACAGATACATATTTGCATTAATAGAATTTCACTACACATACTGTTTTGCAATCTGTATTTTAATTGAATAACATATTTTGCACAGCTTTTTCTGTCCACAAAAATAGGCCTAACATCTACTTTCATAGCAGAATAATTTGACTGTATTATACGTGATCTAACATTTTCCTTTCTGCTGAATAGTTTCCATGTATTTGACATTGTAAATCATGTGCAATGAATATCTTTGTACATTTATTAATGCACATTTTGCAAATTTAAATTTCAAGTAAATTTATGGATAAAAAATTATCAGGGAAACTGGTATTATGGCATGAACATACACATTACCAGATGGCCTTCCCGAATATTTAAATCAATGAAAAACACGCTGATCAGTACGTGTCAATGCCTGTGCTCATATCTACACTGATGCTCAAATCTTAGCATGCATCAGAAAAAAGTGGATTAAAACATGAGTGATTTTGCCCTACTTCCTTTCAAAGTTTCTAACTCTGTAGGCATTAAAAAACCTTGGGAATTTTAATTTCTGGCAAGTTTCCATGTAATGCTGATGTTACAAATCAAGACATCTCACCCTTGAAACACTTGCTAGGGATTTGAAATACCTTTTGAAACATTGCTATGGATTTGAAAATGCATTCTTAATTCAAAACATTCCATTTGGAATTAGCATTATACCATTTCATTTACAACGTACTACCTTTAAAATAGTTATTCCATTGTACTGTCAATTATCGGTGATGTTATTAATTATATATATTTAGTAAAACTCACTATATATTGTTTTTGCTTTTTATTGTCAATATTCTTAAATATAAGTAAAAGAGGTCTTTATATTTACCACTGTAGTAGCTAATGCATATTATTCTTTCTGGTTGATCCATCCTACTCTATGGAATTAATTCCCCTTAGCCTACAGAATTTCCTTTAGTACTCGTAATCAAAGACTTCCAGTGAGGAATTAGCTTGATTTGTTATATATCTGTATTTTGTCTTAATTTTTGAATGGTATTTCACAGAGTATAGAAGTCTCAGTTGACAGTTGTGACTTTTTTTTTTCTTTTCACTCATTACAGCTGAAAAACCTAAAATTCCTACATGTAAAAGCTAGGGTTTACCTCTGTTTGTCTTCAGCCTAACTTAACCCACACTATTGTCACCTACTCCCCATCACACAATTTTTACTCTGATCATACTGATATATCTTCCACAGCCAGTTCTTTCTAAACTCATGTATTTGCTTATTTTACTTAAATTATAATGCCTTGCTTCATCTAGGTTATTGGTTATTATTATTATCTTGGTTATTATTATTAATAACCAAACTCACTTTGTATTAGTTATTTCTCAAGGTGCTAATAAAGACATACCCAAAACTGTGTAATTCATAAAGGAAAGAGGTTTAATTGACTCACAGTTTAGCATGGCTGGAGAGAACTCAGGAAACTTACAATTATGGCAGGAAAGGAAGCACGTGCGTCCTTCTTCACATGGCATCTGGAAGGAGAAGCGCAGAGAGAAGAGGGGTTAATCCTCTTATAAAACCATCAGATCTCATGAAACCTCCTTCATTATCCTGAGAACAGCATGGAGGTAGCTGCCCCCATGATTCAATTGCCTCCCATGAGATGTAGGGACTATGGGAATTATTATTTAAGATGAGATTTGGGGGAGGATACAGCAAAACCATATGACCTCTCTTTCATAAACACTCAGTCCAAATGCACATAGGCATGAAGCATTTATTTTGCAGTGAACTCTGAACTCTCCTAATGTCCTAACATTTTCTCTGCTCCTGCATAAAAACATTCATCATTACACAATACTCACTCATGTTACCATTCTGTCGCCTCTAAACTCTGTTAGATAGGGGTAAATTCTTTCTGTTAGAAAGAGTTATGCTATTATCTCATTCGTCTTTGTTTCCTTAATCTCTAACATGCTGATTGCAAAACTAACACAAATTATTTCTTATTCAAAATACCACAGAAAATGCAATTAGTATAATAGGTATACTGTTGACTAGAATAATTTTGCTTATGCTGCTTAATGAACTTTAAGCTACTAACATAATTTCCTGTAACATTTTTCTTTTTGAATCTAAATGAAGACAATTGACATGACTAATTCACGGCATATGGCATGCCCATCTGCGGTGGACACTGTGCTACCCAGATCCCCTTTCAAAAATGAAGGACTTGCTCCCCCAGCTCTGGGAGACCTGCTGACAGGCAGCCCTCAGCTGTCAATCCTTCAGGGTCTGCTTTAACTTTAGAGAGCCACTGTGCCCAAGGCTATACCTTTAGGCAGTACTTATCCAATAACAACTATCAATATGAAGAACAGGCCTAGCTAATGCAAATAGAACTCCACATAGGTCAACTGAGTCTTTATTGAGATAACACCACAGCTTGACTTCCTCCTTCTGCGGAATTTATTTCTTCCCTTCCACAGGTGTTTATTCCGACACCCTCCAATGTAAATCTCATTTTCACTAGTCCTCATCTCAGAGACTGGTTTCCTGGGGAATCCATCGTGTGGCACAAGATTAAGATTGATTCAATGCAAATGCTAAATATCAGATTGTCATTCTCTTGCCAGAAAATATGCTTTAAAATTCTTTCCTTCCTCCCAATGCTCCTGATCAATTAGTATGTAAAGGTGCAAGCAAAATATTAGTCTAAAAATAACTAGAAAAGTCAAGGTATCTAAGAACTACGACAAGTTCTAAAGTCATATTTGCCTATACCTTTTTCTCATTAGTTCATAAAATCAAGGGCATAGTAAAGGAACAAATGCGTAATTCAGTTTAATTTGTGAATATTGCGGGGATAAACCCCTGCAAGTAGTTAACGTAGGCACATATGCATAGATCCAGATATTACCCTTAGCAGGCATTTGCCAGGTCATCTGACACAAAAATTTCAAGAAAGATAAACTATAAGTATTTATAGAACTGGTCATAAAGCCATTTTGTGAAAACTGCCCCCTTTTTCAGCTGCTGACTGAAGCAATATGTGATTATTTTGGTGCAGAGAAGAGATTAATCACGCCTTTTTAGTAGAATAAAAATAAAAACAAATTCAACAGAAATGGGGAAAAGCTTTTTGTTCCATTTAATACCCATTTAAAATGCTTACATCCTGGGCTTTAAATTGAACTTGAACCTTTTCAGATTTCTGTTCCTTTCACAGATGAAGAAAAGCCATTCACACCTTCAATAAAGAATACCAACAAAAGTATGCCAGCTTAGTGTACACTAGCTTTCTGGTATATTGAGAA